TCGTATTTAGTATCCGCACCCCCATATTAAATGATCGGCAAACCGTAACCAGGAATGCATTATACAGTCGCTGCATAATAATAACGTATATTTGCATAATCTGTTCATTTGCATAAAAGAGTCCAAACTCCTTAGTAGGACTTATTAACTATTTGCATAATGTGAACGTGCAATATGCATCAAGGGTGGGTCTAACTCTAGTAGGTCCCACTAACGTATTGTCCAATTCGACATAACACTACAGAAATATATCAATATCAAACTGGTTGCGTATAGAATTAAAACTAGTTTATTATTTTTTCTTCTAATATATTATCATGAACAGCCAATCACCACAACAACAGACTCGTGTCCGTAAATTTCTCAGACCGGATGCCACCCCATTGACACCCAAAGCTATCGAAGAAATCAGAAACGCACCGGAAAATATTCCAAATGCATGTCGTGTGATGTGTAAAAAATACCATATAGGTACAAAGCGATATGAGGATATAATTAATAATCGAATGCCTTCTGAACCGACTGAGGAGTGGCGTCGTATTATTGAAGAAGCGGAGCTTCGAGGTTCAGTTAATAAGACTTGTGTAGCATGGCCCTCTTTAAGGCGTGTATATATTTGCTCTGCAGAGCCACATACGCAAACTCTTGATAGTGCTGAAACTTTTACCAAGTTAGACACAAACTCAGAGGCTTTGCTGCCGTACGGCCACGAGGCTATGGTACCACCCCCGAAGGGGCAAGTCTCCGTAGTTACACTCGACCCATATGAAAGAACTAATATGGACTCAGTGGTAGCACCGCAGAGTGAGGATTTCTCCGAATGTAAATCGCTTATTCCATTTTTAATCCATCCAGCCACTGAAGCGAGGGGGCTAAACACAACAAAAAAATAGACTATTGTAAAGCCGCTCCCTTTGAGAGTTATATCTTAGATAAAAAATTGTGCTTTTACTGTACGTTGCCGTACGGCTAAGTGGTTTTTTGAAAACCAATTCTCTGTGGTACCACTGAAGTTAATCTATTTTCTCCTTATTTATCTTGTAGCCATACGGCAGCGTACGCTCATTGTTAACTTGCCGTTGACCTATTGTTGACTCGATACGACTCAGCGGTACCCCTGACATAGACTCAACACAATTCAACATAGACTCGACATGGCTTGGCATCGACTCGACATGACTCGACATTGACTCGACAAATCGACATTTATGTCGTTTCAACATATAAGGGTATCGAAATTCTCTACCACAATACTCACACGTTCGATCACTCAATTTTTTTTTAATTCTAAATCATTGACGAAAGTCTTCTGTGGTGGTACCACTGAAATATTTTCCAATTTTTCTGCTGTAAAAACCTCACGCTGGGATTTATGCACCGAAAGAGGAATTGTAACATGTACACCATTGCGGGTCGCCTTAAACTCTCGATTAACAATAGGTTCCCATCCAAGCTTGTTGAGTAAAGGGTTGCCAAA